CTGGTGGCCTGAAATGGTGAGCCTACCTTGATAAGTGTGTAACTTATTACTAGCAAGTGACTTCGAAGTTCCAATGGAGGTGACAGAACTGCAGTCATTAGCAACTGGACCTCACCTGCCCTTAAGGGCAGTGGTCTGTTTTATTGGCTTAGTGGGGAGACAGGCAAGATGCAGTCAGATTCAGGAGCCCACCTGAGGGCTGACTCCCAACCATAGCACATGAAACCGCCCCAGCAGGGGCCTAATGGCCTAGGAAGACATGCTGATGATCTCCCTGCTAGGTCTGCTACCCTGGATGTAGCCATCTTTCTTGTGCTGAGCATTCAGATCATTTGAGGAAACTGAGGAAGCCAGAAGAGATCTGTCAAGGGATGACCTGCTTAAGTGTCAACTAGCTTTGCCAGGGAGGACTTAAAAATTGATGTCAGGATGCTGAGCACTCCTGCCTTTTCTATGCATAATCCACAGTAAATCTCTGGGAAGGTGTTCCAAATTTATACTAATGTAGCCCAATCAGATTCTTTTGTTCCCACCATTAGGAAAATTGGCCTTCATAGGAGAAAATACTAACATAGTAAGCCTAAAAGCACAGAGTACGTCTATATTTAACGAGCCAATACCAGTTTCCCTACTGGTTTCTCCCCTACCTCAATCATTGAGATATTTTAATCAGCAGTTGTCAAAAATCTGTCATGCATCAGAATCTTCTGGAGGGGGGTGCTATAAAAACCTCGGAGGATCTGATTTGGTAGGTCTGGGGTGGGGCCTGAGAATTTGCATTTCTATCGAGTTCCCAGGTAATGCCAATTCTGGGTAGTCTAGGGACCACATATTGAGGACCACTGTTCTAAATATTCTGACAGCAGTATTTAAGTAACATTAGGTGGTTTTCTCAATGAGTGGTAACCTGGCCTTTAGTTTAGAACCCAAATGGGCTGGTTTTAAGAAAGATGGTGATGTCCAAGAAAGTAGCTCCATGGATTTTTAGAAACTATTGCCCTGTCTGGTTTTGTTTGCCTGGGTCTGGCTGGCTGTTTTGGAGTTGGCTGGTTTGAAAGGATGTCATGTGTTACCATGGCAATGTTCCTCCCCACACAGGAAGGCCCCAGAGGTCAGGCCTGCACAACCGACCATGTGTTTTTCATGGCTTTTCCCATGGGATGCTGCAGGGTTCCATTCCATCACTGCTGGTTGGTGTTCCCAGGAAGCTGGAGATAGTCAGGAGGCTCCAGACCCTCTCTTTATCCAGCCTGTGAAGGATGTGAATTTCCTTTTTCAATCCAGGGTCCAGCTTGCTTAGGATAAGATTAAGCTAATTTGGGTACAGAGCAGATGTGGTTGGCAGGGGCATCTCAAGGCTATGGGGAAGGTGCTTTCTGCTCCCTTAATTAGCAGCTCTTGCCTTGTAGCACCGTGTCTGGGTGCTCAGCTAGGGAAGGCATGCCTCTCCTGCAGCATTTAGCATGAAGGTTATTACCTCTGTGGATGCAGGGCATGGCAGAGATGATGTGGCACGTGACTGCCGTGGGATCCCTTTGTTCTCCTCCCAGAGTTCTCCTTGAAGGCCACACATATATCCTGGTGTTCTTCCCTCTGGGTGTAGCACACATGGCATCCAGGTGGCCACAGCTCACCAGAGGACAGTTCAAGGTGTGGCTCTGCAGACCTTGTGGGTTTGAATTCTTGTTGCTACAGGCTCTCTCCTTTCCTGTGTGTATCTTTGCAGTTGAGATAGATTACAGGACCCAGGTATGAACATCAGAGGAGATCACAATCAATTTTTAAAAAGGGGGCTAAAAAAGCTCCCCTGAAGAATTTCTTGAGCATAATCTTATGGTCATGTTGGACCAGGAGCAAAGCTGTTAGTTACCTGTGTCTGCCTAATGAGGGCGGTGGGAGGCTGGACAAAGACAGGCCAGGCACAGGGCTCTGTGTTTTGCTGTTCAATTTAGGTTGGTTAGTTACACCTTGACCTTAGGAAGGCTTATTCCAAGGTTGTGTGACAGCCTTAGCATGTTATTTGGGAATCACATAAGACTATGCCTCTCTTCTGATGGTGGGAATTACTTCGGGGGGCCCATTGTATAGCCTGAATGGATCAGAAGGATGGGAGATAAGAACAGATTCCTAAACACAAAATGTCCAAACTCAGTGGGTCTAAAGGGAAGAGATGAACATTTACAGGCACATATGGGCAGATGCCCGATGTACATTCCCACCTAAGTCTTGGGACATCCAACTAGGACTTTTTCAAATTAATTAATTAATTAATTCTTATTATGATATCATTAATATACCCAACTAGGACTTTTTAGTATCATTTTATAGGTGGGGAAACTGAGTTTCAAGAGGCCAAGAAGTGACCTGCCCAAGGTCACCAGGCTGGTTAGGGAGCATTTTCCAGCTCATCTGTCTCAAATATTGTCCTTTATCAGACTGTTTTCTTTTTCCATTCCTTCTACCAAATTTTATCTCACTTTTCCAGAACTGTCTGTGTTCTTTCCTGAAACAATTTTATGAGCAGAGAAGTATGTTCATTGTTAAGCAGCTAAACTTAACAATGAACTCTGGATTCAGATTATTAAAATGTGTGCTTCTTTAAATATATATTTTAAAAACTAAATTGTAGTACATACAGAAAAGTACACAGATTGTGGTATTCAGATTAATGGCCATTTATAAATGGAACACACCTGCATAACTGCCACCCAGATGAAGAAATAAAAATCCAGTTGTATTTTCACTCTTAAAGTTCTTTTATTTTTGCTGACATGAACCTTTGGTTAAAAGTACATTGGACTTGACCTGTCATATTTGTCCCATCCAACTCTGTCACAGCAGTATTTGACAATTCCTCCAAATGCTGGGTAGTGATCTGTCACTGTTTACAGATGGCCCCGGACTTTAGAGGGGAACTCCACATACCCCTGAAGAACAGGTAACAGCAGCTCCCGAGAGGGCAGCAGAGTCTCGGAATTTCACAGCTCATCTCATAAGCAAAGCTCAGGAAGATTGAAGAGTTTGCCCACAATCTTACAGCAGGGAAGCAGGACATTAGGCAGCTCCTCCTACACTCACACACACATGTGCACACACACACATATGCATGCACGCACACATCCCAGGTGTGTGCTATCTGAGAAGTCCCCATTGAAATGGATCTATTGTCAATGGATAAGATATTGACAAGAGAGCCTGTACAGGGCCAGTGAGGTCACTCCTAGGGTCACCACTCAAGGACACTGCCCACTAGCTGTAGGCTACACCCCAGATGCCCAGCTCTCTTTCTTCCCCCATCTGCTCACAAGTGGCCCTCCGGCAGAGATACAACCCTGCTCACCCATCTTGGCACGTTGGGAAAGTTGCTGGCTAAAACCAAACCCTGTCTGTGGCTAGAATGCATTGTGAGCAAGTGTCCCATGCAAAGTGGCCTCTATGTTCCTCAGACTTCAAAGGCTAAGGTCCGCAGTACCACAGGCAGGTCCTGACCCCCAAAACCCAACAGGCCTGTCTTGATGTTCAGCCCTATCACAGATAGGGGAAACTTAGCAAACAGCAAAGCACTTCTTAATAACAATATTTGTCTAGCACTTCCCATGGGCTGGGCTTGGTGCTAAGTCCTGCACATGTAGCTCATTTATTCATCTCTGCAGCTGATGGGAAAGGTCCTTCTGTTATCCTGATTTTCTAGATTAAGGATCTGAGGCTCAGAAAAGCACAAAAACTGCTCATAGTCACACAGGCACTTAAATGATGGGCCCCATTCAAACTGGGAAAGAGTATGTCTGAACTACCCTGCCAGGCCGCCACAAATAACCAAATCAGTAGTGATTTATTGTGCCTACTCTGTGTCAGGCATTGTTCTAGGTGCTGGGGAGACAGCCAGGAGCCAGCGGAGGAAGCCCACACCCTCACAGAGCTGATGTTCTTGATCCTTGAATGGGGACCTCTGGGGAAGAATTCTCTTAGAGATTTCTGTTTCGGGTATTTTTAGAGAAAAGCCTGCTCCCTTTTCCCCATTACCTCCCCACACCCCCATCACGGCTTCCTCTTCATCTTTGAAGCCATCCCAAGTGCCCCAAGTCTTGCCTTCGGGAAATGATGGCTGAGAGCTGGGGTCCCCGAGTCTGTAGATAAGGAACTGACTGAGCGGTGTGCTCCGCGTGCCCAGCACATCCCCCAGCCTCAGCCCTGCTGTTTCCCGCACCCTCCTAGCCCTGCTACTGGGGGAGGGCAGGCATTGGCCCAGCAGCTCTGTGCTATTGAAGGACCCCATCTTGATCCTGGCACACCTTGTCCAGGCCAGCTGACAGCACTCACGCCAGCCTGATAAGAGGCTCAGGAACCCCGCAGCCACCCCACTCACGCGGCCCCGCCACCTCCACGTGGCTGTGTGCCTGTTATTCCTCACATCTCCACACACAAAGAGCCCGGGTGCTGTTGCAGGCGCTCAGCTGCTGGGGTGGGGAGGGCGGCATGGTGAGAAGCTTTTCTGAAAGGCCAGGGTGGAGGCAGGAGTCACCCAGGTGATCCGAGCTGTCCCCCTGGGACCCCAGCCTGGGACCACAGTGAAAGGTTACTGCTAATTGGCGAGCTCCTGATGGGGCTGCATCTATTTAGCACTCCCCCCTCCCCAGAGACTTCCAGGATGGTCTTGGCACAGCGTGTGATTCGAGAACTCCCCGCCTGAGTCTGGCACAATCTGTCTGAAATTGTGAACATGGAGCCTCTTGGTTTTTTAATTTGTATTTTTGTTGCTGTTGTTCTCTGCCCATTGTTTCTGGTAGATTTAGTAGCAGCGGTCCCCCTGACTCTGGTAACCCCCTCCCTGGGGCCCTCTCAGCAGGCTCCTTGCACCCCTGCCCCCAGCCCTACCGCAGGAGGCCCTGCGGGGTCAGGGAGCAACTCCGGCCCTGCCCCCGACCCATCACAGGCCTCAGGGCCCAGCTCTCATCCCGCCATCAGCCCGACACTAACGCAGCTTGTCCACCCTGTCGTAGGGGGCAGATGGCCTGTCGGAGCCTGAGGGCATCGCTCTGAAGCGGGTCGCTGTGGTGGAAGATTTCTTTGACATCATCTACTCGATGCATGTGGAGAGCTCGGCGGAGCCAGGCAAAGCCCCCAAGCACGCTGGGCAGAAGAAAACCTACCGAGCGGTGAGATTTCCGTCTCGGCCTCTGCTGGCAGCCCCAGGCCTTGGCAGGAGGCCATGGGCTCCGCACATGTTGGGAGAGGGCGGGGCAGGGAGCTGAGGCGTGATGAAATGGCCTTTGGGGACCCAGGGGGGCACAGGGCAAGGGCACTGGCAGCCAGAGCGGCTCACAGGGGCGAGGGGGCGGGTTCTGTGGTCTGAGCACAAAGGAGAAGCAGGTTGATGGGAGCGAGAGGGAGGGAAGGAAAGGGGTGAGAATAAGCTCTCTTCTTCCCATTTCTGGTTTCTGCTTCACCCCCGTGTTTCCCCCCACCACTCCACACCCGCCCCCTGCCCTTTGCTGACTGCTCTGGGCCATGGGGGGCAGGAGGTGGCTAGGTAATAATACTAAGAACAAACGCTTTCTTGGCATTTACTGTGTGCCGGGCCTGTCCTGAGCACTTCCCAGGTATGAGTTCACTCAGCCCTGAGCTGGGAGTCTGCGCTGGAGGTTCCCCAGGGGAAGCCTGAGGACCTGGGTACCCCCCGAGGGAGATCACGGTTCCATTTGGGGTGGGGAGGCCAAGAGCAAACCCAAGACCTGAGACACAGAAATGTCTCCAAGACTAGTTTTGAGGGAATAAGAATGCAGGTGCCTGGGTGTTCAGCAAGGCACCTCTAGAGGCAGATGTTCAGTGCCAAGGCAGGGGCTTCATAGACAGGGTGGTGTGTAAGCTAGTATCTGAACTTGGGTAGGCAGAAGGGGCAGAGACAGCAATCCATGGATGATGTCACACATGGGGAGGTAAAGGGGACAGTGGCCAGAGCAGGAGAGGCCTGCCTGTGTTCTGGTCCCTTCCCCTCTTGGCCTCCATTGCCACAGCTCATGCACAGCCCTGTACCATTTGCCCAGCACCTGCCACCAACCAGCAAAGCCAGGCACTTGGTGTTTAGTTGAGCCTCACCACGATCCTGAGATGGTGGTGCTGTGGTGTTATTTCAGTTAAGGAAACTGAGGCCCAGAGAGTTGAGCTACTTGTCTAATGTCACACAGCACTTGAGTGGCAGTCAGCCAGGGCCCTCGTGGCCCATCTGTGTAGACTTTCTCTCTGGCTTCCTTAGAGACCTGCTCCTCTGTGCCTGGGCTCCCTTGCCCAGGGAGATGTGAACCACCCCCCAGGTTCTTTGTATAACTAGCCTTGGACTGCTGTGGAGGTGGCATGTTGAAGTCTAATTTCCCCATATGGCCGGATTTCTTGAAAATCCAACAACCTGGCTTATTGGCCTCAGAAGATGGCCTTTGCCCTCAAAGAGTCTTAAGGACCCACCCATGTACCCCAGGGTCTCAGAGAGATGGGGTAGGGCTGAGGGAAGCAGGAGAGGATAATTCATTCACCCCAATGCCTGGCTTCTCAGCACATATGCATCAGGAAACAACTTGTGGGAAGGTAGTTCTGATGGTGTTTCCACCAGAGGGTCAGAGATGAAAAAGTGAACACCCAGGCTGGGGCCAGTGTGGGCTCCTTAATATTGATGAGATCCAGCACATTTTCTCAGCATTCAATTTGCCAGTCCAGGCAGTTAAACTGTGCCAGGCTCTGCACCCAGCACTTCCCATGCACCAACTCAGCCTTCGCACATATGAAGTTGTAAGTATGAAGCCAGTGCTTCTGTCACCCCCATTTTACAGATGAGGAAATGAGGCTCAGAGAGATGTATCACCTGCCTTGAGGTTACCCAGCTGATGTTCAGAGCCAGACAGTTGGCCCCAGAGCCTGCGCCCTGACCCTGCACATCCTGCCTCTCTACAAACCTCCTGTGGTCGGCTAGTAAGCCAGACCACTTGCTGTTGCCTAGGTAGATGGGCTTGGGCCAGCTGGTTCCCTCGGTGCCCAGCACCAAGCCTCACCCACAGCCGCTTCTTGGGTCCTTATGAAGGCCGGTATCTGCAACCTCCATGCTGTGGAGGGGCCAGGGCTGGGCTGGGTCTGCCAGCCTTTGCATCCCTGAGCCAAGTGGACATCAGCCCCTTGCTCTGCATTTCCTGGCTTCTTGTCCATATGCCTGCCGCGTGCCCCACTTCCCGCTGCCCAGCCTGGAGCCGGCACATGACTGGCAGCAAGCCAGCTGGGCTGCACACAGAGTTGGAATTTCAGCAGCAAGGCCATGGCTGCGTGGAGCAGGCCAGGACCCTCCTGCCGGGGGTGTGCGGCCAAGGGAGCTGCCGTGCCCCCTCCCCCACTGCGTGCCTCCTCTCCCTTCCCCCTCCTCTTCCCCATCTGTCACCCATCTCATGCCACCCTTTTCCTTTTTGGGGGTGGGGGAAGTGCCTGGATGCTTTTGTCCCCCTCATTTCATCTGCTCCCATTTTCTTCAACCCAGGCCTCTCTCTCAGCCACACCCTTGCCTGTGGAAAGAGAGCCCCTGGGGAAACTCCATGCTGGTGGCTGCAGAGGCACAGCCTGGCACCACAGGGTTTGCAGCAGGCCCTTGTCAGAGAGGGTTTTGGACTTGTCTCTGTATTTTGCCAAACCTGAATCCTGGGACTGCCTTGCCCAGGCACCTGGGGCTTTCCAGATTCTGATAGGCCTGGGTTGCCTGTGTAAGGAGGGCACTGGGAGAGAGATTGGTAGGCTTGTTCAGGGCATTAAAGGAGACACACTCTTCAGTGGGAAAAAGAAGTTTCCAGTTCCTACCATGGTCCACCAGGAGATCAAAGAGGACAGATAACGAGCCTTCTGAAACTGGAGGTAGACATGGATAACGCTGGGGATTTCTGTTTTGTGTAGGAAGCCCCTGCCTTCCTTTGCCTCTGATGCAGTGTGACCCGAGGTCTAGAAGATCCAGCGGTACTTGCTGATACTTGGGTCTGGAGAGGGTTCCAAGTGGTTCTACAAAGTTCTCTGAACCCACATAGAGGACTGATACTTTTTCAAGGTGTTTTTATGGTGTCTGCACGCACCTGGGTTGTAGCAAGCCCCTTTGCTTCCTTCCCCTTTCCCAAGGTGCCCGGTATGCTAGACCTGCTTTCTGAGTCCAGATCTAGATGTCCAGACCACTTTGTAGTGGGGCCAGATGTAGTCAGTTAACTGCTCCAGGCCCACCACGTGCTAATCCACCCACGGGGCAGCAGGAGGATCTTGTAAAGTGGTACAAATCTCCCCAATTGGCCTCATCTGTCTTTGTCGGCCTCTGAGTTGGGGAGCGAAAACGGGGCCTGCAAGTCAGCGACTCTGTAGATAGCTTCTGCTCTCCCTGCCAGTGAACTCTCTCTTGGTTTTTACCACTAGGAAAAGCCTAAAAGGCAAATCTGTGTACAGGTCTCCAGGCCCAGGCAGGAGGCCCCAAGAGCAAGGCAGCAAGCAGCTCGGGGTGGCTGAGCGAGGCTGGGTGGGGACAGGGGGCCCGAAGCTTTTCCTTAAACACAGCAGCTCCATCTTTATCTGTTACACATTTTGGGCTTCAGCATAAGAGTCTATTTCCAGAACAGTGTATGTGGTTCTAAAACTATCTGAAAACCACCATTCTACTGCCTAGTGTGTCAGCTGGGAGTGTCCTCCTCATTTCAACTTAGCCTGTTGTCCTGTGGCCCTGGGCATCGGTGCAATCCAACAGAAATAGAGGCCCCATTTCTCATGTGGACAAGCCAGGAGGATGAGCCAGAAGATGCCCACAGAAGGGTGAAAGGCCGGCACAGGGAGGCATCCTCCTTCACTGGGGAGCCCTCAGCAGCACAGAGCTGGGTTGCACTCTGCACTTTGCTGACTCCCTAGGGAGCTCCTTGCAAGGCTGCAGACATTCCATCTCTAAGGACATCTTACCTACCTGCCTTCTGTCCACACCACCCACCCCTTGGTGGGTCCCAGACCAGAAGGTGTGTGCAGTGCTCCCCCTCTCTGTGGCACTCCAGCCAGCCTTTGCCTACTGCTGGGGGCTCTGCCAAGGCCAGGAGGGCTGTGGCCACCACTCTGCTCCCTGGGCAGCACCCTTTCTGGGAACTGTCCCTATACCCTCAGTGGGCCAGGTGGCCAGTAGAACCTCTGTGCATGCTGCAGTCAGTTCAGCAGAGCGGCCAGGTCAGGAAGACTCTCCCGGAGCCCTTTAAGAACATTCTCTGGCCAGTGGCAGGTGGAGCTCTCTGTGGTGAAGAGGGCCGTCGATATGGTATCAGTCTTTCCTCCTTTCCCAGCAGACTGCAACCTTCCACCTCAAGTCCTTGGCTCAGCAATTCTAAGGCCTGACCTCAGATGCCACACTTTGGGGCACCCAAGTGGTCATCTGTTGGTCAAGTTAGCAACAGCCCTCCACTTTGCCCAGTGTCCCTCCTGCCTGTTTATTCCTGCAGCCATCAACCCTTCAAGAGGGCCCATCCTTTCAAACATGGCAGGCACAAGAGGGATACGTAGCCCCTAAGACTTCCAGGCAACTCTGGGCTGGGAATGAAGATGTCCATGTCCTGTGAGTGGCAGGAAGCCCCCATCCTGGGACCCTAGCACTGGAGGAGAACAGGCCACACACCGTCCCATCCACTGGCTCCAATCAGAGAGCAGGGGTTTGCCCTTGTCTCTGACCTCCAGAGGAAGGCAATCAGACAGGGAATTTGGAAGGGAGATAACTCATCAAGGAGCCTGCCTGCTCCGCAGAGCATCAAATCAGCTGAGAAATAACAATTGTGTCACCAAAATTAACTCTGCGTTTGCAGCCAGCCACCAGGCACGAGTGGCCCCTAGAGCTCCACAGGCCAGCTGAGCTGGGAGCACAGCCCAGGCTGATCCTCCAAGGCTGGCTGCAGCCTGGGGCCCAACTGCCCCGGCCCCATCACCTCTGCCCCACCTTAGCCCACTTCACATCCACTACAGAGAGGGAGCAGGGCACTTGCCTCCCAGTGGAGGTGACCACTGCTGTCCTGTAGGCAGCCCCTTCCTCTCGTGGGCTGTCCAGGGCCTCAGCCCCTTTCCCGGCTGGGCTGCGGTGAGGACCATGGATCGCTGGGATGATGCTGCCCCTTAGTGGAAAGGAGCGGGAGGGCCCTGGCTCTGGGAAACCTGAAAATCAGCAACCAGGCAGCTATGGCTTCCAGGGAACCTGGGCCCAAGAGGTATCCGTGGCTCCTCAGGCAGCCAAACCAGGGCCAGTGGGTTTCCAAAAACCCAGAGCAAGAAGAGAGGGCTGGGCTTCTGTGCCCAGAGACCCCTCGTCCCCGCTCCCCCACCCCACCTCTTTCTTGTGCTCCCTGCTATCTGTTTCAACTTCCCTCTGTCAAGCACCTTCTCCTCCCTAGCTAGAGGAGGCCCTCCGGAGGCTGCTATGGGGTGGTGTGACCTGGAGCACGGCTTAGTCTGGCACTGCTTGTGTAGAGCTGTGTGACCTTAGGGAGTCGGTCCACCTCTCTGGCCTTCGTGACATCACCTAGAACATGGGGGTCCCTAAGAGCCTGTCCCACTTGGCAAATCTGTTTCCTCAGCATCAGCTTTTCACAGGTCTCCCTAAAAAGGTTCTTGACCTGTGAGGTATTGCAGGAATGGATTGTAGAACCCTGGGTTCTGTTGATAGGCTAAGAAGAGCCTGTAGGTTTATTAGTGGGTCTCAGTTTAGCCAACCCTCAGTGCAAATTGTTTCATCCTACCCTACATCAATGTTTGTAAACTCATTTTTAAGAAGCAGCAATAACATGTTCTAAGAGGAATATTACTTATAAGAACATAAGTTAAAAACTAGAAAATGTTTAAACATTTTGCTTTTTCAATTTTTGAGTTCTTTTATTCAAAATTTTAAAGCAAATGGTTTTCTGTAAAGGTCCTGACTCATTTCCATGGCTCCGAATCACAGATACCTGCCCCTTGCTCCTCGACTCACTGCCTTTCCTGGCAAGAGCCAGGCATCTACCACCAGAGCACAGACCTTGGTGACCCAGCGACCAGGCAGCCTCCCCATGGGCCCATACCGTGAGCAAACCTCCTCTCTCCCCCAGATCGCAGAGACCTACGCCTTCCTTCCACGAGAGGCTGTGACCCGGTTCCTGATGAGCTGCACAGAGTGTCAGAAGAGGATGCACTTTAATTCCAACGGCCTGGAGCCCAAAGGTAGGTGAGCAGATGGGTGCTGGAGATTCAAGGGAGGCTCTCCCACCAGAAGGGCTCTCGCTTTGCTGGCACAAAGAGAAAAGCACATGGCCAGCAGCTGTCACAATTCCCAGAGGCCAGTGAGGGTCCAGGCAGCTGCCCAGAGAACATGCTCGTTTGGGGTTTTTTCCCCCCTATTTTTTTATGTCAAGTTTCACTTGAAAACCAACCACACATTCTCAGTGCTCCTCAAGACCCCTGCCACCTTGACCCATTCCCTCAGCTTTTAATTCTTGCCACCCAGGCCTCACCCTGGACAGTGTCTGCCTGGCTGTGGTCTTGCTGACTGACTGTAAGCTCTTGGAGACCAGGAGCGTATCCCTCCTACCCTGTAGCCACACACCTGCCAGTAGTAGGGCCTCTTGAAAGGTTTCTCCTCTCCCAGTGCACACTCAGGAAAGCTCTGGGGGTTAGTTAGAATTTAAAGTGCCCACAGCACTTCTGACCAGCTGAAATTGGCCTCTTGGACCAACATCCATGCTCTCCAGCTCTGCCCTTCCCAGTGAGACACTGCAAGGACCCACACTTCAGTCCCCCAACTGCAACCTGAATGTCCCCAGAGGTCTCCGTAAGTCTGGGGCCCGTCTGCGTGCAGGTGGCTTTGGCATAGCGAGACGAGCCTGTACATTTGGTTTTATGACTATAACTCTGCCTAGAGAAATGGTGCCCAAGTGGGTGATTTATCAGGGCTTCTAGGCTGCCCCGGGGCATCAGACCTGCAAAGACTGAGGAAGTCAGTGAGTGTTTTGCCTGAGGATGGGAACAGACTCAGAATGAAGGGCAGGCTGCTTGCTCCAGTGGTGTCCGAATCTGGGGGAGGAAGAATCAACAAAGGAGCCCAAGTAGGCAACAAGAAAAGAATTGGAGCACAGGCATTTGTAGGGTTTTCTCCTCATTTTGGGGGCCCCTGATGGACGTGAGCAACTTCGGACACCACCTGACTTACCAAATCCAGAGGCCTTCCTGTCCATGGGGTCTGTTATGCCATGGCTGCCTCATTGGGCCCTAGGAATGGCTCCTACAGCTAAAGAACAGGAAGGAATCTAGTTAATCCCTCGAAAACACTGGGTTCCTGGTTTAAGAGAAGGACTCCAGGGCTACACTGGGTGGGTTCAAATCCGAGCTAGTTGTATGTCCTGAACATACAACTGACTTCATCTCTCTGAGCCTTAGTTTCCTCATCTGTGCATCAGAGTTAATAACGAACGGTGCCTACCTCAGGGGGCTGATGGGATTGGAGAGTTAAACCCCTTTCCTGGCACAGGGCGACCGTGCAGGAGGAGTGAGCTGTGGCTGTTACAGTTACTGTGATAATGCCAGATGCCTGAGTGAGGCCCCTGCCAGGCCGTGCGGAGCAGCTGCAACCCCCAGGCCAAGAGAGCTTTTGGTACCTGAAGATGGGGCCAGGAGGGCTTTCCCCGCTGGGGTCTGAGTCCCTGGTGGCAGCTGCCTGGTCCCTGACCAGGAGTCTGCCTGTTCCCTCCTGTTCTGTCCTAACCGTTTCCATAGCAACTGGCAGAGTCTGCCAGAGCACTGCTTGCCTGAGGGCACAGAGGCAAGGCTAAGAGGGGCCACCTTTGTGGGCTGCTCTGGGGTGTCTGCAGGCCCCATCTATGCTGCTCCCTGGCGGGCGCCCCATATGGAAAACCGCCCTCGCCTCCCCCACTCCTCAGTGCAGGCTGGGAGGTCCCCGGGGCTGCCGCTCCACTACTCAGCTGCGGGCTGGGGGGCGACGGGAGCGCAACAGCAGCCTGGTTCTCCACTGCTGGGCCCCCACCCCCAGGGAGGTGGGGAAGGAGGAGGGGAGTGCAGAGGGAGAGGGCACCCATGCCGGGAGGGAACCGCCTGGCATATAAACCAGCTCCATGGGCTTGTTCCAGGCAGGACTGAGGGCAGCAGAATAAGGTTGCACAGCACCCATCCTTGCCCATCCCCGGGCAGAATGCCACTTCTTTGTCCCCAGGAGGGGAGTCTCCCACACAGGGAGAAGAGGAGACTCCGAAGGAGCAGGTGACAGCATGGCCCATGGAGGAGCAGAGGCTTGTGGTCCCAGCGGCCTGCATGTCCCGCCCTCCTTCCTGCTGTGTGCCCCTTGGCAGGTTAGGGCACCTCACTGAACATCTGCTTGTAACAGCTCCTATGACCCTATGAGGTGTTTGCCCCAGTTTACAGCCAAGGAAACAAGGCACAGAGAGACAAAATCACTTGTCCCAGGTCCCCCTGAGAGCAGGAGAACTTATTTTCTCATCAGCAAAAAGGGAGCAGTGCCTCCCTCTCAGGGTTGCAGTTGAACTAAGGAGCCCATTCTATAGCAGGAGGAAGGGCACCTGCTGGAAGGAGTGCCCGGGGAACAGCAGCCTGTCTCCCCTACCCAGTGTTACTTCACCCTGGTGCCCAGGCACAAGACTGCCACTGTCCAGGTGACCCCACAGGGAGACACATGGTCAGTCGCCCCACACAGGCAAGCGGGTACCCTGGGTCCACAACCTGAACGCTGGGCAAAAGAGAGAGGCGTGGTTTCCGGAAGCTGTTGGTGGAGAGCCTTAGAGTCTCAAAGCCTCCCCTGTCTGCCTAGTGACCAAGAGACCTTAGCCGCGTGGGCCACCGCCGCCAGCTGGCAGGTTCTCCCTTCTGCTGGCCCAGCTGAGAGCCTTGAAACCCTATCTGCACCCGCCCAGCCGCCATGCTGGCCTCCCTGAATGTGGGCAGCTGCACTGCCCGCTCTCTCACGGGCACCCAGTCGTGCCAGCCCTCCCTCCTTCTCTACCCGCCTCCCCTAGGCCCCAGAGGCAGGCCGCTGTTCCCGCCCCAGAAAGGTGGGGCAGCAGGGGGACAGGGAACAGGATGGAGACTTCTTGAGGGGCTGCTGGGAAAGCACCTCACTTCCTGGCCTCGCGGAAGAAAGAAAGGAAGGAAGCAAAGCAGCGTTTCCTGCTCTGCAGTTTGTCCCCAGCAGAGTGTGGGGCCTGGAGACTCCTGTGCCCTCCCCCAGGCCAGGGGCGCAAGCAGAGGAGGCCGCGAGGGGATCAGGAAGTCAGAGGATGGGAAATGCCAGGGCCTCCTGGCCCCATGCTCCTCTTCACCAGCCCCTGAACAAGTCCAGGCAGAGGGGACAGAGGATGAGAACCCGGTGTGCCTTCTGCTCCCGGGGAGAGGGGTTCCTGGGGGCACGTTTCAGTTTTCTTTGATATGACAAAACATTGTCTGCATGGCTGCAAACTAAGAGTTAGCAGTGGGCAACATCAGTCACCTACTGAAGGGTCCCTTCCTTAGTGACAGAGTCATCCACTCAGGTGGCATGTCCTTCACAGCCAGGCCCAAACTCTTCTGTGGGATTTCCAACTTTCTCCATGCCCGGCACCTCCAGATCTGTCCTTTCTGTCTCTCCCTCCTGTGGCCTTGTTCCAGCCCACTGCCCTGGAGAATCTCCCCTGTGCTGGCCTGCTTGCTGGACTGTCCTCTCCTGGCCCTCATGCTTCCTTGCTGTGTGACATGGGGAGGTTGCACAGCCTCTCCGTGTGCTGTTGCCTCATCTATACAATGCTGAGATTAATACAGCCCCCACTTCATGGCGTTCTTGGAAGCGTTAGGCAGCAGGGTCTGCGTGGAGCTCCTGGCAAGTGCTCAGTAGCTGTCAGCTGGGTGATGGAACACAGTCCTGTGCGGACCCTCTCCCCGTGAAGCCATCTTGAGCTACCAGAGAGCCCTTGGAGCTCTAATGGACTCACTGCCAGTCCCACCCTGCTGAGCGCAGGGACTGTATCTACGGGGTTCCGCCACCTTCCCCGCCCTGAATGCACACACATCAGTGCTCCTTGAAGACCTGCTGATGGTTTGCTTCACTTCCCAAAGAAAGAGGCTTTTTAAATCACCTTTTAGGCCAGCCCTCCTGGGATCTTATTTCCAGATCTGAACCTCACAACAGGCAGGATGGTCTTCTGGCCCCTCTGTGCCACACCCTCCAACAGGAAAGCTTTTGCCACTGGTGCCCAGAAGCTCTGGATGTCTCTGGACTGAGGTTCTCCATTCTGCAGGTGAAAGTTCATGAGCAGGGCCACCTTGTGTTCCTCCTGGAGGAATGAGAGCCACTACCTCAGCTGAAATTTGCATTGATCGACAAATGTCACTGGAGCCCAGCTGTGGAGGCCAGCGCTTGGCTTGCCCGGGTAGAGCCTCTGTGCCAGGGACTGTCCCCGAGGCCTATGAAACAGGACTCAGTGCTTGGGCTGGTTCCAGTTTTCCTTGACAAGGCAATTGAGACATCTCTTTGGGTAGTTCTCTGCCTCCCTCACCAGCAACCTGCTGGATTATTTCGGCTCTGTGACCCTTGCTCTCTCCTAACTCACCAGTGGTGTCAGGTTGTTTGCAGTGGCCAGAGTGTTTTGGCCACTGCATGTGTTGACCTCAGTGGAAACCTGACCTGTCACAGCAGAGCCCCAGGAAGCCACCTCTTCCTTGTTCAGGTGTCCACCTCAGCTTGTCCCCCATCCTGGTGTTTGTGTCACCTGTGAGCACCTGACTCCACAGGCTCCCACTGGCCCCTGCTCCTTATCTCTTTCCTACTAAGCTGATCCTCTCAGTGTGAACCACTTATCACTTCCAGGACCATGGGGCTTCCCATGGCTGACACCCTGCCTGCCTTTCTGCTCACTGTGGTGTAGCCAAGCTCTGACCTCCCACAGCAGTTCCCTGACTCATTCCCTCACCTGCTGTGCCCCCCATCCTCCAAGGGCCTGCCTCCCCGACAGAACTGTCACTTCTGGAGCCGCAGGTGCAAGCATTTCACCGCACATCAGCCTCTGATGGATCTGTGTGTGTATGCTCGGCATACTCCAGCTTCCCTCAGACAAAGGCATCGTGCCTGCTCTTCTTGAGCCCTCCTGGCTCACCTCTGGGCGCTGGAAGCAGTTTCTAATCTGTGCACATGCTGGGGAGGGAACAGGCTGAGGGAGGGACCTTCTTTTGCGTCACAAGAGCACCATCCTAGCCATTGTTTCTTTTCTAAACTGAGCTGTATCTGGCCTTATGAAAGACATCGTCTTATAAGCAGTCCTGATGGCATTTCAGGCAAAGATGTGGGTTACCACGTGTAAGACCCCACAGTAGCCCATCCCCGTGGACAACCAAACATAGTGTCTCCCTCACACCTGATGCAGTTTTCATTTGCAGCTCTGACCAGGGACCCTTCCGTCTCATGTATCATGTTGTCTAACAACTTGTCACCAGACAACCTCATCTTTGAGGAAATAAAACAGGAACAGCAGAATTCTCTGTCCACAGACCCACAGTCTGAAAACAGGAACCACGGCTCTTCTTAGTGACATCATCTCAACGTTGTTGCTGGAATCTCTTCTTCATGCAGTGCATCCAACCCCACTGATTTTGGGGGGCCGGGTCCCAACATACTCCTGGGCTTAAGGTCATCAAGTCCAGGTTGATGGTGGAGCACAAGGAGTCCTCAAATACACAGAAATGCATTTTAGTTTCCCAACAGCACTAAGGGGACAGACAACATGCAGTGGTGGCAGAGAACCCCTTTGCCCAGAACCAAGTCTCTTACGAAGAAAAAAAAAAAAGTCTGGCCCATTTCAAGCCAGTTTCTGAGACATTCTATTAGTGACATTTACCGCTTCCTCAAAGAACACAAAAATTTTGAGTGTGACAACATAGCTTTTAAAAAGCAAAATGAAGCTCTGCATTTTCATAAAACTTGATAAAAAAAACATTATTCAAGCTGGTAGGGCACCAGAAGTAGACACCACCTCAAAATGGCACCCCTACATCCCACCCCGGTCTGCACGGGCCCTATTTTCTACAGGGCTGTGCCTATCCTTGCCACACAGGGATTTACTTGTCCCTTTGGGTGGCTTTGTCCCTTGAATGAAGGGGCCTTTTTTCTTTATCATGGTAAAATATAACATAAAACTTGCCATTTACTAATTTTCAAGTGTACAGTTCCATGGCATTAATTATATTCACACCGTTGAGCAACCATCTCCACTCTCTCGATTTCCAAAACGTTTTCATCACCCCAAACAGAAACTGTGTACCCTTGAAGCAATTAACTTCCCAGTTCTAATAACCTCCACTCTGCTTTCTGATTCCATGAATGTGCCTATTCTAGATAGTCCCTCTAAGGGGAACTATATGGTGTTGGTCCTTTTGTGCCTGGCTTCTTTCACTCAGCACAGTGTTTTCAAGGCCGCAGAGGCCTTCCTGGCCTGGGCTGTAGCTCTGAAGTGCCAGGTTCAGCAAATCACCGAGGATGTCCTGCGCATCCCTCCCTTCAGGCCATCTGTTAGGTGACAGTCGAGGGCAGGCTTCAGCTAGTCCAGAAGTTGCTCCCACTCCTCCTCATGCTACTTGACTCCCAGCCCATGAGCAGTACTAGGCACCAGAGGAAACGCTGGGTCAGAGCCAGCAGTCCTGCGCAGCAGGGGGAGGAGGCCAGAGAGCAGGTAACCATGAGTATTCCCCTGGCAGACGGTGGGGCAGAGTCAAGTGACTAAATGACTAAACGAGACCCTGCTTTAGTGTGATGGGTCCCAGCGGGTGCCTGCAGGGTTTTGAGCTGGGTCATGGCAGGAGACATCTAAAGGATGTCTGGGGAGAGGGATGAGCTCCCTTTTAATCATGCTCCTCATCTTCCTTGACTTACTCCTGTGCCATTTTAGTTCGTCCTGTATGGCACCTACAGTGGCACCTGAGATGCAGAGCACAGTGGCTTTGCAAAAGGCAGCTTAGCCAGAGATTTCAAAGAGTCATGAAATATTCCTACCCTTCAACCTATTTCTTGGAATCTGTTCTAAGAAGGAAATGATCAGAAATAAGGGTCAGTTTTCATGCACAAAGATTTTCCCTATAGTGTTGTTTATAATAGCCTGCAATAGGAAACAACCTAAGTAGCCAGTCATAAGAGAATGACTTAAATAAATTATGGTAAAATAGTCCACGACTCTACGAATGATATTCGCAAAGCAAAACAAGATTTTTGATGGTGGGGAAAATGCCTATGACAAAATGTTAAGCAAAAGAAGATTTTTTTAAGGCAGACTGTAATTCTCTGTATGTATTATGATATCAAGTATGTAAAGATGTGAAATCACGGGAAAAAATAAACAGAAGCGTATGCCAAGCTGCTTGGTGCAATTACGGTCTTAAAAATTTTTTTTCTTTACATCTTTCCACACTTTGAAAATGCTCTACAAAAAGAATAAGTTCCTTTGATCTTCAGGACAACAAAGCACTAAATGGGAGGAAAGTGCCCCTCTCTTATGTGATTAAGGAGGAACCAAAATCGGTGGGGAGGCAGGTGCTGGAGGCCTGGGGCAGACCTGCAAGCCGTAGGGTACCTGCCATCGCTTCCAGGGGGTGCTGCGGGGCGGGAGGTGGGGCGGCAAGGCGGTGGCAATGCGTGCACCCGGAAGAGAGCTGGCCTGGACCAGGGTTGGAAGTGTGAATGTCTTCCAGGACCAGGCATGTATCACGATCCAGGGAAAGTGTGCAGCACAGTAGGAAGTGGTGGGGTCTGTGGCAAAGTGGGGAACTCACACCGTGTGTTTAAAAGAAGTAGCTGCTGCCAGGCTGTGGTGGTGGATTGCCAGGTGGGAATGTGGGCCCTGTGTGGCCAGACCTTCCATTTTTCAAAAAGCCAAATATCCCTGATTTGAAAACGTCAACTCTCTTATTACACACTGGCACCTCACTGAAGGTGTTTCAGTGCCATGCAGTCTGCATCGACGGGCCAGGCCTCGTGCTGGAGCCACCGCTTGGCGACCTCTGGCCTTGTCGACCCCTCCTTGGGCTCTGCATTGAGTCCCCTGTGTGGGTGACAGGGTGTGGTGCCCTGCTGGTGGCCCACAGCACAGACTGAAAGGGGCTTCCTTTCGTCCTTTCTGGCAGAAAACGAGCCGCCCTCTCCTCTGGTCTCCGGGATTATCGACTACAACATGCCTCTCACGTCCACATACCTGAAGCAGATGAAGTTGCGTGTGATGAATTCCCAGGAACAGGTAAGGCACCCATCTCCCATCACCCCACCTGGAGGCATCCTAACTTGCCCAGATGTGGTTGACCCTTTCCAAGACTGGGGCCACAGCCTGTATAAACACACTGGAAACCAAAGAGGCCTTATCTAGTTATCTGGGCCACGCAATCCAGGCTGAGGAGAGGGAACAAACGTGTTCCCAGTTAGAGGGTCTGCTGGGCAGCAGCCCTGTGGGTCTTCAGGGAAGCCCAGGAAGTTCAAGCTTCTAAAATCTTTCCCCAGGGCAGGGGCAGGGGAGGGACCAGTGAGAGCCTGAGGCCTTGGCTCTTGGCTTGTTCTCTCTGTGCTCTGCCCTTTGCTGCTTTTGCATCACTCCCCGACCTTACCCCTGGGAGGCACGAGAGAAGGGCCCTGGCCACCAGCCTGTGACCTCTGTCACTCTTGGGGTCCAGGAGGATGGGCCTTGGAGGGTGGCCTGGGTGAGATAAGGCCTTGGGGCCCCCTGGCTGTCCAAGACACCCAGCTGTGGATTGCCAAGGGCTTTCAGACACCATGGAAACAGGCTCTGAAAAGAAAACCACTTTTGCCTGCCTGCGCACACAGTCCACCTTCTGGCCCTTGCAAAGCAAGTACCACGGCTGCCTTTTAAAGAAGGACTCTCCCTTCGGCACCGCCCAAAACCAGGGTAATAGGTTTTCACCTCCTAGCTTCCAGTTTTCTCCTCTGTGGCAGCGTATGAACCTGCCATGTCTCTGGAGCCTGGCCCAAGGCAGTGGGTTCCTTCTTCCCCAGTGGAAGTCCGACTGCCAGCCCTGGGGGCCTGCTGTCCCATGGACTGTAGTCTCCTCGACAGCCGGAGCGGGTGTTTGCCAAGGCGGTGGCAGCCCCACAGCCAGTCTGAGGTGATGCTGAGGGCGTGTCTGGTAGCGTGTGGGGCTGAGGCACCCAGGGTAAGGGCTTGCGCATCCCCTAACGCGGAGGGATGGTGTGCCCTCACACCCCCTGCCAGGCCCAGCCCCTAAAGGCTGAACGAAGCAAGCTTTGCTCTGGGTGGTAGAGTTACTCATGTTTCTGCATCTTCTCATCTGAAATTGTCTATTACGTCATGCCTGTATACATAAGGAACTTCACATAACCAAAAATAATGTCGGCGAGGAAAATGGTGTTGGGCTTTCCAACTCACAATGGCAAAATCTTTTTGTTAAAGGTGTTGCTTTTGTTCATAGCTCTAAAATCAAAATGCTGCTTTGCAAGTTCTGTATACGATCTCCTCTGAATACTGCCGAGGAGCGATTTCTTCTATGACCGTCCGCACTGTCACAGGCATCTGGCTTCTCACACATTCTTATCACTGTTCTCATCCATCACGTGAAAGTGAAGCGCAGAGCCACTCAAACAACAGCCGAGGAATACAGCCCCACGGCTCTCTTTCCTACAAAATGGCTCTAGATCAGACCCAGTAGTGACCAGTGTAGTCCATGTTGTGATCCCTCATTAATGGATCCTGCTATATTTTATTTGGTTACACAAATTCTTATTGTCTGAGGGGCATTCAGACTGTTGGCTAGGTGCATTAACGAGAGTTCAGTCATTCGGCAGATATTTATGGAGCCCAGCTTCATGAGCCAGACTTTAGGGATGAGCAAAGACAGCACCATTCTTAGTTCTTATGGCTTAGGGGGAGACAGACACTAACAAAAACAATCACACACAAATGCCCAGCTTGTAGCAGGTATTGATAAATGATTGAGGGAGAGATTAATCAGCCCTGGCGGTGCAGCTGTGACAAGTGCCATGTAGGTGGGCACATGGTGCTACGAGTGCTTAGATGGGCGTGGGGGTGGGCTAAGGCAGAGGTCAGGGAAGGTCTGCTCAGAAAGGGATGCTTGAGCTGAGATAGAGATCTGAAGGGAAGAGAGCTCTGAAACAACTTATGCAAAGGCCCTGGGGCTCGAGAGAGGACAGTGCCCATGAGAATATGAGAGGCTGGTGTGCCTGGTACAGAGAGTATGAGATGTTTTGTTGCTGAGGAAAAAGGGGGAAAGCACAAGGTTGGGCACATAAGCGCTTTGAATATCTGTGAAGGAAACGAAGCTCAGGAAAGAAAATGGATAAATTGTCGTGGTTAGGTTTAAGCTACTCCCAGAGGCAGGGAGGATTATGGGAAGGTGTGTGTCCCCAGGGCGCCCTGAGAGTCCAGCTGGGGTTGAGGCTGAGACTAGGATGGCCTCTGCTTGCAATGGAGTTGACTCACCATCAGGCATAGCTTCCCAGATGGGCGCCCTCTGAAAGGAGCCCACTTTCTCCCGCATGCTGTAGGAGATCAAAGGCGCACACCCTCCTTGCACACAGCTGGCAGGAGAAGCAGCATCCTGCCTCGTGCCTAGGGCCTTTCATCTGTCAGTCTTCAGCACTCCGCGCACAGCAATGAGCTCTCAAGGCCTCAGCCTCCCAGGCAGCACCTTTATTCCTGTTTGATAGCTAGGCATGTGGCAAAACGAGAAATCACATGGCTCATCTGCAGCAGAAAGGAATGGCCAAGGACCCAGAAGTCTTTGATTCTTCAGCTTGAATTGGAACTAAAAACACATACACTTGAACTGGTAGCTTCTTTCCTTAGGGAAGTCAGAGTGGGGCTCCCTTGAGGTAGGTGAATGGCCCCCTATCCAAATGCAGCCGTGGCTTCACTGCCATTAGGCCCTCCTACCATGACAAGGCTCTAAATTGGCTTTGTTGCTGGCAGCTGCATGCTGACCCTGAGACACTGGCAGAGGACACCTATAGCATTTGCAAATCACTCATACAACCTACATGGAAAATAAACCCAATTCTAAAGTAATGGGAGCTGGGATAAATAATATTTTATTAATGCTGGACAAAGCTCTACATCTAAAAACTCTGGGTGAAAAAAATACCAGTAAGTCATTTTCTTCCAGCGTTTTTACCCAGAAGACAAATGAATAGTAAGGCAAGTAGAACATTTCCCCTCATTTTGCTTTGAACAGACAACAGACAAGTGGTGGGGTTTACATGCAACCTAGACAGAGTCACATTACTTGTCCCGTTGTGTCAGATGAACATGCTGGGAAATGGGACCTTCTCTGCCGAGGATATTAGGTACTATGAAAATCCAATGACAATATGCACACAAAGAAAAAAGATTCTTCTTGAGTTCTGACCGATGGTAGCAAATACTTATGGCGTCCTCAACTGCAGGACTTTCGGAGGTTGGACTCTGCCTCCCCGGACCTCCCTCCTAAGATACAGACCCCAAGAGCTGCCATCGCAGCAGCCGCATTGAGCTGAAGATAGGAGACTGTAGCCTGATGAAATCTTTTTTTCCCCTTACTTGGAAAAATGCTCATAAAGGTATAAAACTGAAACCACATTTAGCTATACTGATGATGAATACATTTTCTTGTAGGGGACGGGGTAGGAAGCTTTCATGAGATGTGGACTGTTGCAGAGAATGTTCCATAGAATTCTGTGATAAGATGAGGACCCAGAGAAGGTGCAGGCCATACTCATAGGGTCAGGGGTGGCCAGCAAGTGTTGTCCCCAGCTGCAGACCTTCCAAATCCCCTTTCAGGGCTGTGTGCAGGATGCACCGAGAGGAGGGCTGGGATCTCTTCATGTGGCCACTGGTTTTGTTTCCTGCCTCATTCAGTTTCCTTTCATGCTATTTTTTTTATTACACAAGTAAAACTTGTGGCTTCAGTAGCCAGAAAGCAAAATCATGATAATAAAAATCACCAGTCTCACCACTCAGATCACTGTGAATAGTTTGTTGTTCACACCCTTCCAGACTATCGGATAGAGAGGGGATTATCCAGTACATACCAGTTTACATCCTGCTTGGTTTTTCTAATGCTGATTTTCCATATTATTTGAAGTCTCCTTACCCTCTGGGCCTTGATGTTTCCACCAAATAAGCTGGTTACATAATTTTGCTGTCATTCACTCACTCCTGCACCCACACCCATCCATCCATCCACCCATCATGCACTGGAGCCAGCATGGGTCCCTGTGCTAAGGAGGCAGTGGGGAACAGAGTTCCTGCCGGCCAGCTCTCAGGGTTCAGTGAGAGAGATGAGGAAAACCGAGACCACCACTCTGCGCCTGTAGGCAAACCTTAGAGAAAGAGAAAAGAAGAGACAAGGGAGCAAGCAGGGTGGGTGCTGTCCTGGGCAGGTGGGTTATTAACTGGGCGCCTGTTCCATGTCCAGCTTGGCACCCTTTGCCCCTCACCCTCACAACTCTAGGGTCACATCATTATTCCTGATTTGACAGATGCCATAGCTGAGGCTCAGAAAGGTTCAGGACTTGCTCAAAGTCAACCATCACTGATGTGAATTAAAACTCAGGTTTCTTCCATCCCTGAACCCGTGCACCTGCCAGGGCCCTGAGGCCTGCTTCTCCCCAGCCTTCCTGGGTGCGGATGTGCTCATCAGAATCTGAGGTGGGTGTGCCACCTGGAGGGTTGGTGGAGGGGAAACAGCCTTGGCAGAGATGCTGGCAGAGCAGGTCGAGGGCTTTGTTTGGCCTGGGAACTGGGAGTCGCCTTAAATATGTGATGCGTAAGGAAATAGTGGAAGAGGGATTTGATGGGGGGGCCCCTCCCCATCAAGCCTGCTTGTGAATTCTCAGTTATCTGCAGGGGTATATGTGTAATTTGATATCCACATCATGGGTGACGTTTTCCTGATCTTTCCCCGCGATTCCAGTGTTTGAACCAAGACCCCATTGTAAGAAATCAGATCCAGATCCGGAAGGAGAGAGACAAATTGTCTGTGTTCCTTCCCCCAACACATACTTTTCATTTCACAGCAGTGGAGGCTGAGAGCCCAGGAGGCTGAGCGACTTTCCCAAGGCAGCCCCCGGCTCCACAGCCTTTTGGTCGCCACACCCCACCCCAGCAGCTTGCTCTGTCCAGAGCAGGAAGGCTGTCAGCGCGCCTCTCCTCTCTCCAGTTCTTGGAGCAGCGCTAATGTCCTGCTAATGGTTTTAATGGTTCTCCCAGCAGTG